CACACATGGAGCAGTGGGGCTGGCCCCGCAACCCACACAGGGAGTAGTGGGTCTGGCACCGCAACCCACACATGGAGCAGTGGGGCTGGCCCCGCAACCCACACATGGAGCAGTGGGGCTGGCCCCACAACCCACACAGGGAGTAGTGGGTCTGGCACCGCAACCCACACAGAGAGTAGTGGGTCTGGCACCGCAACCCACACAGGGAGTAGTGGGTCTGGCACCGCAACCCACACAGGGAGTAGTGGGTCTGGCTCCGCAACCCACACAGGGAGTAGTGGGTCTGGCACCGCAACCCACACAGGGAGTAGTGGGTCTGGCTCCGCAACCCACACAGGGAGTAGTGGGTCTGGCTCCGCAACCCACACAGGGAGTATCTGTTAACATGGCCCCTGTCTGTGAAAACCAGTTAATCACGTAATCATTTAATCAGTTACTATGGTTACTTAATCCCAGTTACAACTTCATGCCAGATAGGAGACACCTAGTTGCTGTGTTACTTTAGCAGCCAAAACCACACAGAATTTCTATCAGACAGACTGCAGTCACAGCAGAACTAATCCAAAAGCCAGTCTGTGCCTGGTCAGTAATGGATGCCTTATTTCTAAGTCCATCATTATTGTTTCCTCTTGTCATAGTCCCTACCAGGATTCATCAATCATTTTTTTTAAAAAAAAGTTTGGACCCAGTTCTCCATATTGAGGCTTTATGTGGATACGGTGCTAGCTCCATATTTTTATCAACCAGTCAGCACCCACTGGGTCATAGGGTCAGTATTACTCAGCTACCTTTATTTCCCAGAATATTTCACTTTATATTAGAGCAGCCTGTGAACCTAGATTCAATTTTTTTTTAAAATCCCTACATTTGATGTGGATTCAGGTCCAAGACAATAGGGCCAGCAAGTCAGTGACAGGCCAGCTACAAGGCCAGTCACTCTGTGTCTCTCCATGTGTCTCTCCATGTGTCTCTCCATGTGTCTCCCCATGTGTCTCTCCATGTCTCTCTCCATGTGTCTCTCCATGTGTCTTATGTTTCTTTTTGTGTGTGTGTTTAAAAAAAAAATTGAGTAGACTATATATTTTTGTTGTGTTTGTATAGTGTCTTGTCTCTGACCGTCTGGTGTGCAAGGGTATCAGCTTAGCTCAAACAGTTCTGTTCCATTCAATGTTGGTTCACTTGAATGAAAGACCTGACTATGATGACACCTTTATTGTTATCTAGTTGGCTGAGCACTGTCACACACTTGCTGCTTTCACAAGGTCATGTCATTCTTTTGAATAAAAGGTTGAATACTACAGTGATTTATTGTTCAGTTACCGACTGAGTTCCTTTACAGTTCATTACTATAGCACTTGTTTGCATTTGCTGTGCTGCCAGCAACATCCTTGGTTATGAAGCTGCTGTCGCTGATATATGCAGCACAGCTACTGTTTACTGAACACATTCTGACATGGGCTAGAAATGACACACTAGAGGCAGTTGGGGGGAAGCAGCTGCAGGCGACACACTCACACAGTAGTCTAGAACATTCTATGTGTCTGCTATTTACACTAACAAAACTAAATGTTGCGGATATATTATCTTTTCCGTGCATGGGTTTTCAGCATGCATCTTAACACACATCTTTCAGCATGCATAGTAACACTCATATTTCTGTATGCATTATAACACATATTTCTGCATGCATGGTGATAACAGTTTCAAGTAAACAGAATAGTACACACTTTCTGCATGCATGGTTACAGCCTAAGTAACTCACTCACACTGTATGTTGCTATTCAGTGAAATTGTTATTTCAAGTTATATGTCTGCTGATACCTTGTGTAGTGTTTACATAAACTTAGAGTTAGTTGATACATTTTAGCTGCCCTGTTTTGGGGAATTTGGTAATTCTGTATGGTAGAGCAATACAATATGCCCCTAAATTCTGACCTGTCAACTATTTCAAACATGGATATGGTTGTATGTGGAAATGTGGCCTCCATGCTTTACATATAACTGAAATGTTTTGTTGTTGGCGCCTTTCAGATGACAGTTTTGTATTGTACCATAGGGAAGCAGGGAACCCCAGCACATGATGGTGGTGGTGAGCATGACCAGCGAGGTCCGCTCACATCTAGATAAGTCCTCCCCAGTTAGAGTATGGGACCTCAGGATCACTGTTGCCATGATATGCATTCAGTTCCCACTGCATAACGCTATCGGTAATATAAAGTGGATGCATCTTAAAGGGGCTGCTCCAGGATGCCTGAGGCTGAAGAACTAATCCAGCAATTATGGGACCAAGTTGGTCCCGGACACAAAATGAATGGCTACACCTGTAGACATTCGTGACTTGTCTAAGGTTGTCATAACACAAGAGAGGTATTTCAGGAGTCAGATACCTGCCACCATAGATCCTGAGATAATATTGATAATATTCACATCGTCATTTACACAGAGAGGGTCCATGGAGCACGGGTCAAGGTCAGCATTGGCATACACAGCACAACGAGTGGGGAAAACAATAAAAGAGAAAAGTAGTGCTCACCAGACAACAGTGTCAAGCATGACCACGAGGATACCTGCTGCCTTCAGAGTACTCGCTTGGGCAGTAAAACAAGGGGCCACTCATGCGCTAATAATTACAGACACCATGAACATGCTTTGGAAACTTGCAACAGATAGTTTATGTTCCAGCTGGTTAGAAGGCATTTGGAAGTCGCAGTTAACCTTCGATATCTGGATCTGCACACCTAGGCATGCAGGAGTAAAATGATAATGAAATAATTGGCAAGCAGTGCACTAATACTAATATTAAGAAGCATCGACAGAGCATCAACAGACTATGTTGGGGGTTAATTATGAATCTCTGGCATTGAAGTTTGATAAAATATGTCTATGCTGTTTCATAGTCAAGACAGGAAACATTAAAACCAGCTTCTCTTTGGAACAATCAGTAGAGGTATCTTAGAGTAGCTGCTACATCAGAGGACTAAGCATATATAGGAATGCCTAATGTGTGGTGACGTAAATTGTGATGACATTGCTTTTTCTTAGTCACTCAACTCTTAACGAGACTAACTGAGGCAGGGGGTTACGTTTCTTGTCTTCATAGCACACAAAGGTGCTAAATACAATAAGAAATTTGACTAGAAAGCATTAACTCTAGTCACCTTCTATTTATATCATTATTTTACGGCAGTCACCCCGTATTTTTTTTCATAGCACAAAACCTAAGCAGTATTTTAAGACCATCTGTTGCCCATGCAGCGTGATCCCTCTCTTGGCCTGCCTTGTTTACTTTAGAGAAAACGTAATGACAATACGTTTGGAAAAAGGCACATTGCAGAAGCTTCCAGATTAGAAAAGCAGTGTTGTGCCTGTCCACCGCCAGATTCTCCCTCCTAGACTAGCCGCCAACTGATATATATCATGTATAGTATTAAGTGGGATCACTGATATAAGAACAACATCCTATTACACTTGTCATACCCAATGCCAGCGGGACATTTAACAATGTGAAATAGCTACTCACATTAAAGGTAACTGCTTATGCAACCACTTTTACCATCCTCACATATAAGCAGCTACATTATTAATTACAATCCCCAATGATCAGGTGTTATATTTATACTTCACCTTTGTCTGGCCCAGAAACAAGGAAAAACTGTGGACGCCTTTGAGGTTAGTTATAGAGGAAAACTGGAGAAATATCAGGGCAGAACAAGGAAACTGTCTGGAAAAACTGGGGTTAAAAAAAAAAAAAACATTTGGGTATGGCAAGCTAATCTGACCATATGAGGAGACCTGGCTCTTTTTTAAAGACATGCAAAGACAACCCTGGCTTAGGCATTGTGGAGCACACTTCATAGCTCAGAAATACCCAGTTCGATACATTTGGGTATTTTAGGACAAACTATGAGACCATATGTGAGAGACCTGCGTGAGTCTTTTTTGAAAGACATGAGTGTACAAAGGAGATGGGAAGACCTGGCTGAGGGCACACTGGAGATGGAGAAAACTGCATGAGCTCACCCTGAAGATACCCAGTAAGTGCACATGGAGATGGGAGAAACCTGCAGGAACCCTGGAGATAGGGAAAACCTGCATGAGTGCACCCTGGAGATGGGAGAGACCTGCGTGAGTGCACCCTGAAGATATGAGAAACCTGCATGAGTGTACACTGGAGATGGGAGAGACCTGCATGAGTGCACACTGGAGATGAGAGAAAACTGCATGAGTGCACCCTGAAGATGGGAGAGACCTGCATGAGTGCACACTGGAGATGGGAGAAACCTGCATGAGTGCACCCTGGAGATAGGGAAAACCTGCATGAGTGCACCCTGAAGATGGGAGAGACCTGCATGAGTGCACACTGGAGATGGGAGAAACCTGCATGAGTGCACCCTGGAGATGGGAGAAACCTGCATGAGTGCACACTGGCGATGAGGGAAACCTGCATGAGTGCACCCTAAAGATGGGAGAGACCGCATGAGTGCACCATGGAGATGGGAGAAGCCTGCATGTGTGCACCCTGGAGATGGGAGAAGCCTGCATGTGCACCCAGGAGGTAGAAGAAGCCTGCATGGGTGCACCCAGGAGGTGGGAGAAGCCTGCATGTGTGCACCCTGGAGATGGGAGAAGCCTGCATGAGTGCACCCAGGAGGTGGGAGAAGCCTGCATGGGTGCACCCAGGAGGTGGGAGAAGCCTGCATGTGTGCACCCTGGAGATGGGAGAAGCCTGCATGAGTGCACCCTGGAGGTGGAAGAAGCCTGCATGAGTGCACACTGGATGTAGGAGAAGCCTGCATGAGTGCACCCTGGAGATGGGAGAAACCTGCATGAGTGCACCCTGGAGATAGGAGAAACCTGCATGAGTGCACCCTGGAGGTGGGAGAAGTCTGCATGAGTGCACCCATGAGGTAGGAGAAGTCTGCATGGGTGCACCCAGGAGGTGGGAGAAGCCTGCATGTGTGCACCCTGGAGATGGGAGAAGCCTACATGTGTGCACCCAGGAGGTGGGAGAAGCCTGCATGAGTGCACCCAGGAGGTGGGAGAAGCCTGCATGAGTGCACCCTGAGTGCACGCTGAAGATAGAAGAGACCTGCATGAGTGCACACTGAAGAAAGAAGAGACCTGCATGAGTGCACCCTGAAGATAGAAGATACCTGCATGAGTGCACACTGAAGATAGAAGAGACCTGCATGAGTGCACCCTGAAGATAGAAGAGACCTGCATGAGTGCACCCTGAAGATAGGAAAAGCCTATATGAGTGCACCCATAAGATGCAGCAAAAAGAAAGTATTAGAGATGCATTGCAGCTGACCAATGCTTGATTGGTCAGAAAAGCACATAATTTCATTGAGTGTCTGAATCATGTGATTAAACTTCATGATGGGGCTAAAGTTTACAAATGGTCAAGCAGGTGTAGTGGAACACTGAATTTGAGTCTTTTTGTGGGGTTTGCTGTATTATTTCTACCTGCTGTCAGGGAAATTGGGTTTTAAATCCATTTGACTATTTGTAGTTTTGTAATGGAGACATGTTTCCTGCATGCATCAAGGGGAGAATTGTGTTTTTTAATGAATTGAACATTGGGAGAATTAAGAATTTGTAATGGTGTATGGGGAAAATAAACAATTTTAATGGGGTGTAGGTAGAATTAGGAATTGTAAATGGGGTTGTGTAGAACAATTTCACATTTTAAAATTAGTTTTTCATAATTGTATTGTTTCAGGAAAAAGAAAAAAAATGTTTATAGATTAATCATTTGTTTAATATGACAAAATACTCATAAAATTCATATTACAAATATTTGCAAATATTAAGATATTTTTTATATGAAAATATTTTATGAGTTAGCTTACTTCAATCAAACACTTAATACTTTACAAAGAAACCTGTCTTGTGCCTTTAATTGATTCACTTATGGTTGTGTGTTTATTAGATAACATATTGTGACTTGCAAATGTTTAAAAATCTGGAATTCTGAACAGCTAAGTAGACCCATATAAATATTAATGAACTGAATGCAGTTTCACATACAAAAGCTTCAGTGCCAGAGGCAGGCAAAATTACCTGTTTTGATATAGACTAAGAAGCAGTAACGGCTTATAAACAAATTCAGGAAGAACCATTATGAGGAAATAACTGAAACATTTGTGAAGGGTGGTTCTTGACAGCCTTTGATTGTAACATGGGAGAACATGTAACATGGAAGAACATGTAACACGGGATATTATTTTCTTTGTGTTTACAACATTGTGATGTCAGAGCTTCAAAGCAAATTTCAGATTGATGATGTTTATTTGCAGGAGGATATGTCTGGAGTGCGAGCAGAGGGAGATGCCTCTCCATCGGCTGGTGCCACTCCTACGTCTGAATTGTCGGCCAGACAGCGCTCACTGCTGAACATAGTACAGAAAGAACAGAAGAAATGGAAGGGAACTGTTCAAGAACAGAGGAGGAACATTTATGACAGGCATTCAATGCTCAATTAAGAACTTTTCATATGCCATGACCTGAATGGCATTGCCATTGTGCTGCATCAGACAATGTCATGTATGTCATTTGTTAATACTCTATGTGATATTGGCATTTATTTTCTTTCTGTTAATCACCTAATCAGGCCCAGTTTTTTAAATATTTTGTTTACTCTTTATTCTCCTTTGTTTCTTCTACTTCTTTTTCTGCCTTCACTCTTGAAAGGGTGGTTGGCAATTTTGTGTTGTGGTTTACAACTAGGCTGTGATGTTTTGCCTTTTCAGCCCAAAACGTCTAATTTAGGCAAACCTAGTAAGTCGCCACCTTACTTGTTAGGAGGCATTGGTTCGATTCTGTTTACCTCAAGAATGGAGCCTCAGAACCCACAGCAGGAACTCTTTTATTTAGAACAGCCAATGTTTCATAGAAACAAAACAAAATGAATGGATCCTGGACAAGCTTGGGATGATAGAGATCTGAAGGAAGAGATTAAAACATGTACTGGTGAACTGATTAAGCTGTTGGTGTTCACGCAAGGAGGATTGTAGGGCTGACATGATCAGGTGCCCTGTGAATTCGGTAACGTATTGATGATGATGATACACTACATTAATGAAATTGTTAACACATACACTGGTTCAGGAAAACCATAAAAGGAAAGCTCTGGGCCTGGATAATAAAATGTATTGCTCAGGCTGTGTGGCAACTGACTGTTATCTCCACTGTGTGCACCTGAAGGAAGTGGCCAGATTTAACCAGCAAGTTAGACCATAGACCTGAGTATAGGAATTGACAAAAAAGTGCACTAATAGCAGTGTATATGTAGTGGCTGTGGTGATCAGTTTAAAAAGAATTTGCAGGATCAAAAACATTTCATATCCAGTCGATGTTATCTGTTATATGTATCATCTGTGGCGTGGTTGTTTAGCTGATTATTTTTTTCTCTTGCTGTTTATACTTGGTTGTTTGTTAGACTTTGCAGTAAAAGTTAATCAAGTGTTACTTTCAATATTTGGTTTTATGTTGGACTATGTAAACAGAGCTAGGTAGTTGATGTTACTTTTAATGTTTAAGATTGTGCATGTGCAGTATTTATGGGAAATGATTTCTTTATTCACAGTGATTTCATGTAAACTACTACAGGTTAATGAGAATACAACTTGTAGGCATATTTGGTGTCTGTCCTGGTAATATTGTGCACAATAGAAAACTTATCTACAGCATAGTATTTAAATCTCTTATGAGAGTTTGAACGGTCCAGGGAAACTGCCACAAAATTGAACTAAGAGAAAATTTATGGGCACTTAAAAGTCTAGATTTATGAAGTGTTCTGACTAGTCAAACTGATGGGACATGGTGATCTCAATATAATGAATACAGTGTCTACCAGTCTTGAGAGAACGAACCAAACTCTATTTTCAAAGGGACACAAATTGGACATGCAGTCTTGTCTTACATCCAGCCTTTCCAAACATCTGTCTTTCACACATCAGTTGTATTTTATCAAAAAAGCATGTTATGTTCATGTAATAATATGAAATTGTCAGTTTGGTCTCTTGTTTATGAAAGGATAGGAAATCAAACAGTTTTTCTTTGGAAAGGAATACTGTATAAAATGCCTGTCTCCACAGAAATAATTAAAAACAACTAGTGGTACTGATGCTATGGGTCATGTCATCTATCGCTCAAGAAGCAGCTGGAGGTCACACAGGTGTGCTGTCTCCATAAAATGATGAGAATCTCAAGGGCAGCTGGAAATGTCATGGACAACCAAGAATTCCATGAACGGCTTTTAAAAAAGGAATATCTAAATTGCCGTCTACATAAAGTTACCCACATGGGGACAATTGTCATATTATAGTTGTGTTTGGAGATTTCAGCATGGAGGGAAAGCTATACATCTGGGAAGGTTGATGACATTAGAGACATGGAAAAACAGAGTGGATGGGCCATGGCAGGTGACAGGCTGTCAAACGTCAAGACTAGAGAATACATATTTGTGAAGGAAATATGATCACCCATACGGCACAGCATGGCACATGTTTATGCTTCTGGTTCAGTATGGAGGACTACGCCTGGCAGAATGTGTAGCTTCCAAGTTTTTATGTGCGTTCTTCTGTCAGCGCTTTGCTACTGCAGTTTCCACATATCGGTGGAAGATTGCAGTTTTGTTGTCTGAGCTACTGGCTTTAGTGCTTATTGCAGCACTGTGAGCTGTTTCTTATGTGGAATGCCTTTCATTTGTGCATGGTTGAGTCGTCGTAATCAATATCTTTGGTAGCCGGTTTAAAAGTGGGCGGTTAAAGTACCATATGTAATAATTTTACGTGTGTATAGCCAGCTTATTGTGACCAACTTCTTCCATCAATGACAAACTGCATTTCTGGCAGCGATTGTTGGCTTTGGCACCTCTAACAACTGCCATATGCATTTACTACGTGTGCATATTTCTGGGTTATGCTGGAATTAATTGTTTCCTCACTAGTTTTTTTTTTTTTTCAAATAGGACAGTGAGGGACATTTAATTTGATTCTCACTGGCACAGGAAACGGAACAAGTATGGGGTGACCAGATTACACATTGAAATATGGCGAACATGCTGGATTATGTATTAATAATTTAGTGACCAGAATGTTCTCTCAGTTTGAGCAAACTGAATCAGTGTCTGATCTTGTAGTTAAGTCAAGCAGTCTAGTAATAATTCGGTGTACATACTGTCTACAGCTTTAAGTTCTATCTGGTTGAAAGGTGTTGGTATGGGAGATGCCTCCTGATGGTGTTGACAGTTCAGGTCTTCAGTACTGTTTGTTTGATGATCACACCAGATGTGACAATATGAGGCTGGTGAATGGTTACTGGCTCTACTGGGAGCCGAATATTTTGTTAACAGCTGGAAGATCTGTTCAGTGTAATGAGCTGTGATGTTTTTGGGAAGATCTGTTCAGTGTAATGAGATGTGATGTTTTTGGGAAGATCTGTTCAGTGTAATGAGATGTGATGTTTTTGGGGTGCATTGATTCAGAAACACACCTGTGTTTTGTCTATAGGTTTTGATTCATGCAGAAGAATAAATAGAGCTGAAAACAGTTGATGTTGTGATGTCATAATGTACATACATAATGTGAGTTTATTATTTAAAGCAATGTACATTGTAAAGAGTTGGTGTCTTCACAAATACTGATTCCGTTTCACTTTTCTTTAGGTGTTAATGTGTTAATTTTTGTGAAGTCTCTTTTCGTTTGTCTAATTACCCCCCTCCCCCCCCCCCCCCCCCCCCCCCCCTTTTTTTTTTTTTCTTCCTTTTTGATGTCTCTTTTCATTGGCTCATTTTGTTTGTGTTGTCATGGAAAGTTGAAAGAAACATTGTGAACATTTAAAATTTAAGCAGTAAGAGAACTGTCTGGACAAACGCGGGTATCAATTATTATAAGACAAAGAAAGTGGTGAAATATTTATCATATCCTGAGGACATTTAATAGAGAATCACAACACAGGCACTTAAATGGGAAACACATGAACTGAGGAAATGAGGATGTCCCAGGAAAACCCAAAAGGAATGTTGAGAGGACAAAGGTACTGATTTAGATTGCATTCAAGATATTGAAACAGTTGCACAGTATAGATGGGAATTGTAAGAATAGACTGCAACTCTTATGTGACATATGACACAGCAGGTTGATTATGTCTTGCATCTCCTCCCCCAAATAAAGCAGAACATGGTTGCTCTTGATACCCCAAGCTACAACAACAAATTGGAGTGAGCTGTGATTGGTTCGTGGTGCTCCAGGAAACTTCTTATAAGAGCCACACACACACAAAAGACAATCTGATACAGTTTATAGCTCAGCCGCAAGCACCACAAGGTACAGCATGAATGAGTTAAGAATGGGTTGTGGTCACTGTGAACAGTCAATCTCACATTGTTAATATCTGGTCAGAGTGTCATATTCCCTGGTCTCCAACAGTTCCGATTTTTTCTTTGTCTGTTACTGCGCCTGGAGAAGTTTCCAGTAGAAAAAAACATTCCTATTTTGAACAAATGAGCTGTTTCATCGCAAGAAAATTGTTTTATCCCTAATTTGTAAATATGTATGATGTGAAGTGACAGAGTGAATTTTTTTTATTCCTATAACATTTATCTGAAATTAAAACAGATGTGGATATTTGATTCAAGCACAGAGAGAGACAGATTTGTAAAGTTGAAACAGACACAGAATATGGGTGACCTAATCTTAAATATAAAGATAGACAGATAAATTGTTAAAGCAGACCAGAAACACCTGAGTTAATCATAGATGGATTGACTTGAAATAAGCAAGAACATTGAGCAGATTTGAGGATAGAGAGGAAATATTATACTGTGATGATAATATGGAAGGTTTATATTATGTTGTGTATGTCTCCATACTTTCTGTGTTCTTTTGTTATTTATGCACATCATAGATTTTATGTGCATGCACATACAGCCTGCAGTGTCAGCCAGTATTTGATGTTTTATTACTGTAGTATGTCATTGTTGTTATGATCATTATAAGTAGATCTCATGTATATTCTATGCTGTAGGTGTACATGTTTGTGGTGCAAAGAGAAAGTTTGGTGTCATAATTTTAGTGTTATTATATATATTATTGGTGTTATATATCATTAGAATAATTAAATGTAACAAATCTGTTTACATAAATAAACTATGGAAATGTAGTCTTCCTTTGTTGATTTGTACAGATACTTGTGCTCACCAGTTTTTTGTTTGTTTCTTTCAAATAGCTGTGTACCTGCCAGATTACTCTTGTATTTCTTTATTGCTTTCTCACTTCCATTCCTGCTTTGTAATTCCTTGGTTGTATGCCCTTTTCAAAGCCTTTTTGGTTGTTGGTGATTTTACTTGGTAATTTTGCACTCAGTAGTTCACCATGACTTTCTGAATGGTTAGCTCTGTGCAGAAATCAAGTAAAGCAGCTGGCACCAAATCATGCGTGGCTGGAATCATAACGAGTATGTCACAATTCCGAATTACATTTGCAGTATCTAAGCCACAGATGCCGACAATCTGTTGGTGTCCGGATTAATAATTTGTATGTGTGTTGTTGATTTTGTTGTCACACATACACAACAAAATTTGTTTATGTCAGTTTTACTGTTCTTGACTTTATAGTCACATATATATGTAATTGTCATCTGTTATCTTGTCTTCATCTATATGTAATTCACTGATTCTTTTCTTTCCTTTATTCTCATTGAGACCTTTAACCAGGTCATACCTAGTCACCCTGTCAGTTGCCAACTTCAGCTGTTTACTCCAAGATGTCTGTTTTTTTAAAATTAAAGTTAGTGTTTGACATCTCTGTCTCATCCATTGTGAACAGTCTTGCAGACAGCAGATCTGCTCCAGCTTTATGAAAGACATGCTTATCCCTCTCAAAGTATCTAGCTGATCATTCTCATAGTACCTGCCATGTCTTCATATATGAGATTGTAACCCATAGACTCCAATCTTCCCAGCAGTTGCCTTTACCCAGACTCTAGCTGATAGTTTGTTATGTCCAAACCATGGAGCACTGACCATCATGTCTGTCCACAGAATTATGTTCACTGTATTGTTAGTCATTTCTCATGCTATGATGCTAAACTGTTTCACAACTGCTATTTTGGTTTCCCTGTGAATTCTGTCTGTTTTTCTTTTAATGTAAAACAATCTTTTGTGGCATTGAATTTAAATAATGCAGACTTAAACAATGCATTGCACAATACAATGCAAAAGTTAACACCAACATAGTGAAGCACAAAATATGAATCCTTTCATGGTTTATCTTGAACTTCTTGAGGTGAGATGTAGGGTCAGTGTTGAAAAACTATTCTTCACTACTTTTTCTTTTATTCCCCATTAAAGCATGGACTCTCAGCCAAGCTTTCTACATCTTTTTGGCAGTTTCTGCATCTCTCTTCATGTCTTTCTCATTTTTGTTTTTGTGTACTTGTTTATAGTCTGTTGACTTTTGTGGCTACAATATTGTACAGTATGGCATAGCCAACCCCCAAAACAGCCTCCCTGAGTTACCTCTTATGACACACTTGGTAGGGTGAACTATTACTATTATTATTTTTTATGAGAAGCTATATCAATACTTAAGACATTCTTTTGTGGAAAAGAAACACTTTATTGATTTACAAACTCACAGAACAAACAATAGCTGGAACACTTCTTGTAGACACATCCCCATTTCTGATCAGGGCACCAAAGCAAACAAAATGTTTCCCAGCAAGATGACTGCAAGTTGAAAGTTCGTATCTCCAGTGTCAGAAACATCACAGACAGTATACTTCTGGGATAGCCTATATTTAGTCGTACTGTTGTGGTTTATTTCAAATAATATTTGATTCAGGCGTGGGATACCCTCATGTGGGTTCCAGGGCTGTATTTTGGAGGACAATGAATAGACCCACTGCCCCTTATCAAGCATGTCCTAGGAGTTGACTGACTAGGGGTGTTTCCTTCAAAGTGCACAGGCCTGAGAGGTGAGGAACCAGCAGTCTCCAGACACCTAAGCCAGATCTATTAAAAGGATGTGCATGCAAAACTAAAGTCCTGGATCAAGTCCAAAGTCCAGTAGTGGACAAATAACAGAACATTGTGCCAGAGTTTGAACACTAAGGAAAGAGAGAAGGCATGAGCAACACTCTATACAACCCAGCCTGATGAGCAAGTATGTGGGATTTCAAGTCCAGTCTAAAGTTGTCAATAGATTCAATTTGTGTAAATAACACTTATGATGACTCACTATATCACTAAGCAAAACACAATTTTTTTTTAATGAGAGGTGCTTATTCACATAAACAATTAGTTACCTTTGAGGTTTTATTCACCCCAAACAAAGGAAATTTTGGAGTTCCTGGGATAGTCCAGTATTGTAAAGGTGTTAGGGTTTGGGGTTACAGTTAGTCCGTATATTGAGGCAGTCGGGGCTAAAGATCCTAGCCTTAACCCCAATCCATAACACCTCTAGAATATTGGACTTTTCTGGGAACTCTGAGATTCCTTTGTTTGGATGAAGTACCTCTTTAAAAAAGATCATTTAAAACATGTTACGATGTGAGAAATGATAGTTCCTTTTTCTTTGAGCTCATCTGCTGTATACTCTGACATAATTTTCTGTAGTTAGTCCGCTTCTGGACTTTAGTCTTGTCCTAGAGCTTGAGTTATGCATGTACCTCCCTTGTACAGATACTGATGTTTATGCAGGCTGTTGGTTCCTCCCTTCTCAGGTAGATACACTCAAACTTCGAAGAAAACGCCCCTAACTGATCACTTTCTATGTAGTGAGTCTATCCTCTCCTGCCTCCTACAAATGAGACCCCAGAGCCCAAAATGGAAGAAATGGTAGTCTATAACATGCATTTTGAAAGATAAAAGTAATATTTACATACATACTACGAGTATTGCATATACAATAGTAATTGATTTGAGAAATTGTGTTTTATATTCGCAATATTCACTCTGATATTGAAAAGAAGACACTAAACCAATCACACTCCATTTTAACAGCTCTAACCACAGAGGCAAAGATGGAATATCTGTCACACCAATAAAAACTGGCTCTGGTGATCATACCACATGCCTATAGATGGTAAATTGCCTCATCCATTGTCTAAGCCCTGGAGGTATCAATGTTCAACATACCTTTATCTAAACAGTTGTAGTATTGTCACATTATTCTTAATTTTAATTTATTTTATTATTTTTATGCTTATTCTATTTTATTTCATATCATTTTATTTAATCTCTTACCAGTACCACTTATGGATCATAAATTTTTGTATTTCTACTACTTTTGTATCCCTCCTATTCTTATATTTTAGCATTATTACATTTGTGACAATTTGTTAAACTTTCTTTTATTTTATTTTATTCATTCCCCATCACCTTTTTATAGTTGCTGGTGAACGCTGGTGGTTGGAGTACTTTCTCTTTTGTTTTTGTTGTGTAGTTCATGTTGAGAAAGGCCCTGGCTAAAATGATGTTTTGTGCACATTGTTCTGCTTCAACATTTCATTCAGTTTTTTAGTCACAGTTCACTGGATTAATTTCATATTCAAAATTAGAAAATGAAATGTGAGTGCAACAGAAATGGTCATTTCTGTAATAGCATTCTAGAAAATGTTAACTTTCCAGCAGTATTGCTTTGAAATGTCTTCCCCCCCCTCTCTCTCTCTCTCTCTCTCTCTCTCTCTCTCTCTCTCTCTCTTTCTTTTCCTGTCTTCTGATCTCTTCAGTGACATTTGTTTTAGGAATTATTACATGTTTTAAATTGACAAATAAAGTAAGAACCTAGACATAAACTTTTAGGTTAAGAGTAATTTGCAAATAGAAAGACTGAGAGAAGAGCTGAGAAGAAAGTTGTAGGTCTTTGAACAAAATTAATATCTTTCTAAACATTGAATATGACCATCCATAGAATCATACTTTTATAAATGTATCAGCACTTAACGGGTGGCGTGTGTGTGTATAAATTAAGCAACCTCTTCTTCCACCACCACCTGCTTCTTCTTTTGCTTTTTTTTTGTGGCTTCTTCTTTTTCTTTTTCTTCTTCATCATCCTTCTTCTTCTTCCTCTTTTTCTTCTTCCTCTTTTTCTTTTTATTCTTCCTTATCTTCTTCTTCATCTTTTTCTTCTGTGTGCACAAATATTTTGTTGTTGTGGGTGTATGTTACTATATGACAACAAGCTGTACCTACCAACATCAAAAGCTTTTTTTTTCCACCTCAGGCGGCACTTAGTGGTACGCAGTACCGGCATCTATTTAAAGCGTTTAAAATAAAATATAAAGAAAAAAACTCCGTGGGTGAGAACAGGCAATTTGTTGCCAAAGGGCGTGAGGAGCCTGCCAAGAGGTGCAGGTGACCAAACACCCCTGTATTTCAACGAGCCTACAACTGAGGACAGTAGAAAGTATCAAGAAGATTATTATAACTATTGAAAGATAGAAGACTAGTACTTTTTTTACTACTGTTACCACTTTTCAAAATTAATATGCAGACATTCATAAACAACGCAGAGCAAGCACAAGAATGTGAAGTATGATGAATTCTGAGATTCCTGAGTCAGAAATTAACAGGGGTTACAATATTGAACATGAACACATATTCACTAACCAATGTACTACAGTCTGTGGCTAAGTCGATGCGAACGCTTCGTAATGCCGGGATACCGGGTTCGATCCCAGCTGCGGGCCATGGGCCTTGCGTTGGTTTCAACAGTGGTATCAAGAAAGCCGACCGTCCAGGAGGCAATGGCAAACTACTGGACGTAAACTTGCCTAGAAAAACCACACAACAGCCAGGAGCTGTTAGTGTTGGTTCTGCAACTTCCTGTAAAGGATACGCAACTAACTAACGTACTACAAGGCTGCTTTTTATGACAATGCAGAGCCTTGTCGACTAACATTTTCGTTTTTGCTTTTCTTCATACAGCAATCATAACAGAATGTCAAGAATCTTCTCTCGCTGGCTTCCTCTATTTCCATTTATCTTGTCTCCAAAATGGCACATAGTTTTCTCTTCGCACCATTAGTTAAGCGACTGTCCTATTGTAGTGCGTTCAGTGTTTTGCCATAGTAATATCTCACAAAGCACTTGACAGCTGGCCGTTTCTCCCGTCCTTAGAACAGACGATGGTACAGTCAGACTTCAAGTATAAATATAAAGACAACTGGTTGAAGTCTGTTTATGCGGCCATTTTCCTGGCCTGGCGCCGGGCATCGACTTTGGCTAGCATTGGCATGAACAACATGAGAACCGCTCCGACAATCAGGGCCACGCCAACATAGTAGAGGACAATATCGTAGGAGCCGGTGGCTTCCAGTATGGCACCTGGATAAACAGAGGTAAAATAGATGATATTTTGTTGTGCGGCACTGTGGATTAGAGGTTAGTTAACGTGTACTAGGGTTTCATGTTTACAGCCGACAGTTTATTTTGGAGAGAAAACACGGACTAACAACAACACGTGCAACACACCTGGCCCAGGATAGAAAACTGCGACTGCCCACTACGCTGTGAGGTAATTGTGGACAAGACAAGACGAGACAAGACAAGACACAATTGGCTGGCGTTTTGAACTATAAAGTAATGAAAGTATACAAATATATAAATTAATAAATGGTAGTATTTACATTATTACTTGAAAATATAGTTTTCTAATAAACATAAATGTTTGTACCTTCGTAACTGTAGATGTTTTGTACATGAAATAAGACACCTTCTCAGAATAAACAAGTGATCTTAAAACTCCCCGTCCCTATGTGAAACAAATATTTTTTAATTTGATGGCCCATTCTGGTTGTTGCCCGGGGCCAAAATAAACCTAACGGGGTTTCTGGGACCTCTCTACGGGTGAGCCTCATCCGCATGGTGGCACTTTGTGTCACCGGCTGTTTACCTCTCAGTGTGATGTCCTAGTGGGGTAAAATGTGGGGTCAGTCATTCAGCAAAAACGTAATATGACCAAGTCTTATTTTGGGGAAAACATTGGTCTTCATTATTTATTTGCGAATGGCGGTCACTACCTAACTTACTTTCTATCCCTCAGTTAACTTCAAATCTCAGTACGAATCTAACTATAAACATGTATGTATATGGGTGTGTGTGTATGGATGTTCGACTAGGTAGGCCTGAGCGACCATGCGATTTAACCTTACCCCTAACAACTTGCTAGAGAATATTCCACACTGAGCTGTTCATGCTTGAAGTTTATTGTACAATCAATGAAATCAATCATGGAAATAGCATTATCAATCTTGAATGTCAAAAAACACACACACACACATACACAAACACACACACACATACACAAACACACACACACACACACACACACACACACAGAGAGAGAGAGAGAGAGAACGAACCTTATTTACAAAGGGTGACAAATTGGGCACGCAGGCCTGTCTTACAGTCGGTTCTTTCAAACACTCTTCTTTCACACAGCTATTGTATATTATCAAATAAGCATGTTGTGCTCATATAATAATATGCATCAGATGAATATGTAGGCGAAAAATACAAAAGCATGGATGGTAAATGCATCGGTAGACACGCCCAATGACACATTCAGTCAGTCACTCACATACATACACATAGATACACACATACACACTACACAGCCACTCATTCATATAGATAATACACTCTTATATATATATATATATTTACACACACACTCACACATATTCTCTCATACACACATAACATACGCACACACTCATAAATAAACATGCATATTACACACTCCTGCATTATTACATGATTATATATAATCAGAGACACACACACACACACACACACACACACACACAGAGAAGCCAGCTGGACCAGAAACGTCTACTGATTATTGATTTAAGGATCGATATCATAGCATACCGAGCATACAGAGCATACAGAGCATACAGAGCATACCGAGCATACAGAGCATACCGAGCATACAGAGCATACCGAGCATACAGAGCATACCAAGCATACAGAGCATACCGAGCACACAGAGCATACAGAGCATACAGAGCATACCAAGCATACAGAGCATACAGAGCATACCGAGCATACAGAGCATACCAAGCATACAGAGCATACCGAGCATACCAAGCATACCAAGCATACAGAGCATACCGAGCATACAGAGCATATAGAGCATACCAAGCATACAGAGCATACCGAGCATACAGAGCATACCAAGCATACAGAGCATACCGAGCATACCAAGCATACCAAGCATACAGAGCATACCGAGCATACAGAGCATATAGAGCATACCAAGCATACAGAGCATACCGAGCATACAGAGCATATAGAGCATATAGAGCATACAGAGCATACAGAGCATACCGAGCATATAGAGCATATAGAGCATACAGAGCATACAGAGCATACCAAGCATACAGAGCATATAGAGCATACAGAGCATACAGAGCATACAGAGCATATAGAGCATACAGAGCATACCGAGCATACAGAGCATACCGAGCATACAGAGCATACCGAGCATACAGAGCATACCAAGCATACCAAGCATACAGAGCATACCGAGCATACAGAGCATATAGAGCATACCAAGCATACAGAGCATATAGAGCATACAGAGCATACAGAGCATACAGAGCATACAGAGCATACAGAGCATACCGAGCATACAGAGCATATAGAGCATACAGAGCATACAGAGCATATCGAGCATACAGAGCATACCGAGCATACAGAGCATACAGAGCATACCGAGCATACCGAGCATATAGAGCATATAGAGCATACAGAGCATACCGAGCATACAGAGCATATAGAGCATACAGAGCATATAGAGCATACAGAGCATATAGAGCATACAGAGCATACAGAGCATACAGAGCATACCAAGCATATAGAGCATATAGAGCATACAGAGCATACAGAGCATATAGAGCATACAGAGCATACCGAGCATACAGAGCATATAGAGCATATAGAGCATACAGAGCATACAGAGCATACCAAGCATACAGAGCATATAGAGCATACAGAGCATACAGAGCATACCGAGCATACAGAGCATATAGAGCATACAGAGCATACCGAGCATACAGAGCATATAGAGCATACAGAGCATACAGAGCATACCGAGCATACCAAGCATACAGAGCATACCTAGCATACCGAGCATACAGAGCATACAGAGCATACCGAGCATACAGAGCATACCAAGCATACCAAGCATACAGAGCATACAGAGCATACCAAGCCTACAGAGCATACCGAGCATACAGAGCATACCAAGCATACCAAGCATACAGAGCATACAGAGCATACCAAGCCTTCAGAGCATACAGAGCATACCAAGCATACAGAGCATACAGAGCATACCAAGCATACAGAGCATACAGAGCATACCGAGCATACCAAGCATACCAAGCATACAGAGCATACAGAGCATACCAAGCCTACAGAGCATACAGAGCATACCAAGCATACAGAGCATACCGAGCATACAGAGCATACAGAGCATGCAGAGCATACAGAGCATACCGAGCACACCGAGCATACAGAGCATACCAAGCATACCGAGCATACAGAGCATACCGAGCATACAGAGCATACAGAACATACCCAGCATACAGAGCATACCGAGCATACAGAGCATACCGAGCATACAGAGCATACAGAGCATACCGAGCACACCGAGCATACCGAGCATACCAAGCATACCCAGCATACAGAGCAAACCGAGCATACCGAGCATACCAAGCATACCGAGCATACAGAACATACAGAGCATACAGAGCATACAGAGCATACAGAGCATACCGAGCATACCGAGCATACCAAGCATACAGAGCATACCGAGCATACCAAGCATACAGAGCATACAGAGCATACCGAGCATACCAAGCATACCGAGCATACAGAACATACAGAGCATACAGAGCATACAGAGCATACAGAGCATACCAAGCATACAGAGCATACAGAGCATACCGAGCATACCGAGCATACCAAGCATACCGAGCATACAGAACATACAGAGCATACAGAGCATACAGAGCATACAGAGCATACCGAGCATACAGAGCATACAGAGCATACAGAGCATACAGAGCATACCAAGCATACAGAGCATACAGAGCATACCGAGCATACCTAGCATACCGAGCATACAGAGCATACCGAGCATACCGAGCATATAGAGCATATAGAGCATACAGAGCATACAGAGCATACCGAGCATACAGAGCATACAGAGCATATAGAGCATACAGAGCATATAGAGCATACAGAGCATACAGAGCATATAGAGCATACAGAGCATACAGAGCATACAGAGCATACCAAGCATATAGAGCATATAGAGCATACAGAGCATACAGAGCATATAGAGCATACAGAGCATACCGAGCATACAGAGCATATAGAGCATACAGAGCATACAGAGCATACCAAGCATACAGAGCATATAGAGCATACAGAGCATACAGAGCATACCGAGCATACCAAGCATACAGAGCATATAGAGCATACAGAGCATATAGAGCATACAGAGCATACAGAGCATACCAAGCATACAGAGCATATAGAGCATACAGAGCATACAGAGCATACCGAGCATACAGAGCATATAGAGCATACAGAGCATACAGAGCATACCGAGCATACCAAGCATACAGAGCATACCTAGCATACCGAGCATACAGAGCATACAGAGCATACCGAGCATACAGAGCATACCAAGCATACCAAGCATACAGAGCATACAGAGCATACCAAGCCTACAGAGCATACCGAGCATACAGAGCATACCAAGCATACCAAGCATACAGAGCATACAGAGCATACCAAGCCTACAGAGCATACAGAGCATACCAAGCATACAGAGCATACAGAGCATACCAAGCATACAGAGCATACCGAGCATACCAAGCATACCAAGCATACAGAGCATACAGAGCATACCAAGCCTACAGAGCATACAGAGCATACCAAGCATACAGAGCATACCGAGCATACAGAGCATACAGAGCATGCAGAGCATACAGAGCATACCGAGCACACCGAGCATACAGAGCATACCAAGCATACCGAGCATACAGAGCATACCGAGCATACAGAGCATACAGAACATACCCAGCATTCAGAGCATACCGAGCATACAGAGCATACCGAGCATACAGAGCATACCGAGCATACCAAGCATACCCAGCATACAGAGCAAACCGAGCATACCGAGCATACCGAGCATACCAAGCATACAGAGCATACAGAGCATACCGAGCATACCAAGCATACAGAGCATACAGAGCATACCGAGCATACCAAGCATACCGAGCATACAGAACATACAGAGCATACAGAGCATATAGAGCATACCAAGCATACAGAGCATACAGAACATACCCAGCATTCAGAGCATACCGAGCATACAGAGCATACCGAGCATACAGAACATACAGAGCATACAGAGCATACAGAGCATACAGAGCATACCGAGCATACCGAGCATACCGAGCATACCAAGCATACAGAGCATACAGAGCATACCGAGCATACCAAGCATACAGAGCATACAGAGCATACAGAGCATACAGAGCATACAGAGCATACCGAGCATACCAAGCATACAGAGCATACAGAGCATACCGAGCATACCAAGCATACCGAGCATACAGAGCATACAGAGCATACCGAGCATACAGAGCATACAGAGCATACAGAGCATACAGAGCATACCAAGCATACAGAGCATACAGAGCATACAGAGCATACCGAGCATACCTAGCATACCGAGCATACAGAGCATACCGAGCACACAGAGCATACAGAGCATACCGAGCACACAGAGCATACAGAGCATACCGAGCATACCGAGCATACAGAGCATACCGAGCATACAGAGCATACCAAGCATACCGAGCATACATAGCATACAGAGCATACCGAGCATACCGAGCATACAGAGCATACCGAGCATACATAGCATACAGAGCATACAGAGCATACAGAGCAGAGCATACAGAGCATACAGAGCATACCGAGCATACAGAGCATACAGAGCATACAGAGCATACAGAGCATACCGAGGATACCGAGCATACAGAGCATACAGAGCATACAGAGCATACATAGCATACCAAGCATACAGAGCATACAGAGCATACAGAGCATACCGAGCATACCTAGCATACAGAGCATACCGAGCACACAGAGCATACAGAGCATACCGAGCATACCGAGCATACAGAGCATACAGAGCATACCGAGCATACAGAGCATACCAAGCATACCGAGCATACATAGCATACAGAGCATACAGAGCATACCGAGCATACCGAGCATACAGAGCATACCGAGCATACATAGCATACAGAGCATACAGAGCATACAGAGCATACCGAGCATACAGAGCATACAGAGCATACCGAGCATACCGAGCATACAGAGCATACAGAGCATACCGAGCATACAGAGCATACGGAGCATACGGAGCATACAGAGCATACAGAGCATACCGAGCATACAGAGCATACAGAGCATGCCAAGCATACAGAGCATACCAAGCATACAGAGCATACCGAGCATAGATGCTCTGTCTACCAGAGCTAATGCCCTAATCTGTAGATGCTAACTGTTACCGTAGCACACTTATTATACACACGTCGTTCTTTTCCCCTCATGCGTCTATCCTTGCCAGATCCACACCTAATTCCATGGTCACATGTGTTAATTTTGAACCTCCAACAGTACCGACAGAGAACCGACATAGTAACTCCTCTGGTAACTTCATTGTCTGCTATCCATTTCATAATGCTCTTATCCACTTCACTGCCGCACATAGGATAGAGTTTGAACTAGATGGTATTATTATTGTTTGTTTGTGTAACACATCTCTTCATGGCTGCCATAATCAACGATTAAGTGACTACGGTCACGCAGGGCTGTTTAAGTACATGCACAAGTATTACATGGAAAAATATTCTTAAGTGCCATTGGAGCTAATGGAGTTTTCGCTGGATACAGACAAGGATATAATGGGTAAATTTCTTGCGTGTCATTGGAAGTAAATGTGCACTGAACCGTGGCTGAAAGACACAAAATAATATGAAGTAAATGCAAGTCTGTGTGCTCGCGGAACTTACTGAGCATCGGGCTGTGACAGGCGGCAGAGATTGTAGCCAGCATGGCTGTGATGCTGAGGCAACGCGCCATCTTCTCCATGCCCACTATCTCGATGTGCATCATTGGAAGCAGCGACTGTCTGGTGCCGATGAACAAGCCCATGATTACCACCATGGCGATCATCTTCTCGAAGTTGTCGAACAGCGTGTTAAACTGTAGCAGGATGCCTGGAGGAAGAGAACAGGGCAACTCATGAGTTAAACTGTAGAAGGATGCCTAGAGAAAGAGAACAGGGCAACTCATGAGTTAAACTGTAGAAGGATGCCTGGAGGAAGAGAACAGGGAACTCTTGAGTTAAACTGTAGCAGGATGCCCGGAGGAAGAGAACAGGGCAACTCATGAGTTAAACTGTAGAAGGATGCCTAGAGAAAGAGAACAGGGCAACTCATGAGTTAAACTGTAGAAGGATGCCTAGAGAAAGAGAACAGGGCAACTCATGAGTTAAACTGCTGCAGAAAGCCTATGGGAGAATAGAGCAGATCATGAGTTAAACTGTGGAAGGATGACTAGACAGAGTAATACTCGCAATTGCAAAGTTGGTGCTTGTAAAAACAGTGACTGGCACAAATCATTGGTAGACAGCAGATAGACACAAACTTATTAAAGGTTCCAACAGATGATGGCGTGGCAATTGTGAAAAGAAAATTAACATGAACTAGCAGTCGCTGTAACAAAAATATGAACAATTATAATTTGAATGTGTCAAATGATAGTGGTCATTTACACAATTATAGCACGACTTGATCGAGAATATAAAATTAACAAACAAACAAAAGCGAAAGACAGAAAGGAGCAAACGCGGTGGGTGAGAGAAAGGAAGAAACAAACCGGCAATGAGACAATGAAACCACCTACCTTGACAAATCTGAGCAATAGCAACAATCTGAGTGGCTCTCAGCAAATTAGTGTCAGCGAAGAAGCCGATGGCCAGACGACTGACCAGGTCTACAGATCCGGTGATGGTTAGAAGGGTGGCTGCCTGATCTTTAGATGCTCCCTTGATAACAGCGATTGTGGGCACGTACTGCATGAGATACTGGGTGGTGGCGCTAGGTACTGCAGATACTAGGAACACCCGGAACGCCAGTTGTCTGTGGGAGAGAGAGAGAGAGAGAGAGAGAGAGAGAGAGAGAGAGAAGATGGATATAGAACAAATGTTGTGCCATGTTGTAACAAGACAACGCTGATGGGTGAAATGCAAACTTGTCATAAAACCGTAGCTGGTCGTGGTATAATCGGCTCCAAAAGTCGTATCCTCAAGTTTTTAACAAATATTTTAAAACCGCCTGTACGGATCCACGCAGCTACGGTTTTATAATTTGCAGTTGCACAGTTGCTACTGTTTACTTAAGCAGGAGTTTTTTTAAATCTTTGTCGGATTAATAATTTGTGTACCCCAAGAATGTAAAATATACAGTAAGTTATACGGATCGATTGCTTTAAACCACAGGCGTGGTGATCTTGTTTTCCAAATCATGATTTATGACAAATATACCCACATATCACGTTATTGTGAACGCCCGTGAACTGACTTAAACTATGTAGTCGCTATTTTGATAGTAGATGGCGTATCCACTTCGCTATACAAAATAAGTGCGCATTGGGTTTTCGCACAAATTGCCTCAAAAAAGTTCGCTTTACTCTATTCCTGTAAATTCTATGCTTTGAATCGTGTTTTTTTTTTCTCCATAAATCGCAAACAAAAACTAGATGTTGCTTTATAATTATTTTTTTTTCCTACAAGTACATGCTTATTAGTAGGTTGCATGCTCAGTTTCAAAAATTTACACTGAACGGTTGCTGTGTGAACAACATTGTTTAGATGGGCGCGACTTTTTGAACCGATTATATAAAAAAAAAAAAAGCTGACAACGCAAAATCATAAATTATGCTCCCATACAGTAGCTGTCTGCGATAGACTGGCGAAATATAATATATACTTGTTGCCGCAGCGTAGTTGACTATTAGTTTGACCATGGATTCGCTGTAATAAATGGGTAAGTATAAAAAAAATATAAATATATTTGTGGTAAGTAAGCCAAATTACGCTGATCGGTACGAGCAGGCTTGACATTAACAATTTTAAAGTGTGATAGAAATTACAATAACCTACCATTGTATTGTAACCTGTCAATTTAGTTGTTAAGGGTGTCTAGACTGTTATTCACGTGACATGACAGCGCAGACGAACACGGTGACATCGTATTGGTAATTTAAAGATGGCGTCTACACTTTTCACAAGTACCAGCGAGGAGCCGTATCTCGTGATCCGATGTTTGATCAGCGAAGGTGTGAATTTCTGTGGGTTTCTCCCCTTTGTTGACCAAACAAAAACTGATAACTGAAGGCTCCTCCTCTCTGGTGCAAGTCAAAAATGAGGGACATCTTTAAGGTGTGATTATGATGTCGCATTGTTCGTCTGATGCCTTTTGTCGCCTGCTTAACATTCTTGGCATCCTTAACAACAATATTGACAGCCTACAAAATAACAGCATGGGACTGTAATTTTTATCACAATATTTTCATTTCAAGCACCCTCGTAGATAATCACAACATATTTTTGTGATGAGTCACATACAAACATAAGAATACAATGCACGAAAATTGTTTGCAAACTATTTCGCTGCATGGGTGCGACTTCTAGACAAAAGAAATATAATTAACAGAAGGCTGCAGAAAAAGAAGACGTGACTTTTCACAATTTTGTTTGGAATATCTTGAAAAGAAGAAATTAAAAGTTGAATAAGAAGTCAGTATTACAAGATCATTCATCTTCAATGAGAGTTAAAGAAGTATGAACGGAAAACCAACAGATAAAGTGACATAGACAAATTAGCCAATGTATGGAAATTATTGGATAGTAGGCAGTGAAAAAAAAACACAGAAAGATTTACATGTAAAGCTTTAGGAAACTAAACAACAAATAATACCGAGTACCCAACATTATGAAGTGATCAGGTGACCGAAAGAGCTACACAGTCACGATCACCACTGTCTGCTACACTCACGACAAATGAAGACAAATAAGAAAATGAGTACATAACAGAGACATATTTGCTTAAACAGAGACATCTGCACTTGAGCAGAGTCATTGATTCTTGAACAGAGAAATACCTACTTGAACAGAGAAATACCTACTTCAACAGAAACATACCTACTTGAACAGAGAAATACCTATTTGAACAGAGAAATACCTACTTGAACAGAGAAATACCTATTTGAACAGAGAAATACCTACTTGAACAGAGAAATACCTATTTGAACAGAGAAATACCTACTTGAACAGAGAAATACCTATTTGAACAGAGAAATACCTACTTGAACAGAGAAATACCTACTTGAACAGAGAAATACCTACTTGAATAGGGAAAAACCTACTTGAACATAAAAATACCTACTTGAACAGAGAAATACCTACTTGAACAGAGAAACACCTACTTGAACAGAAAAATGCCTACTTGAACAGAGAAACACCTACTTGAACAGATAAATACCTACTTGAACAGAGAAATACCCACTTGAACAAAGAAACACCTACTTGAACAGAGAAATACCTACTTGAACAGAGAAATACCTACTTGAACTGAGAATTATATACTTATACAGAGAAATGGGTACTTGAACAGAAATGGGTATTCAACAAATGATATGAATACGTTGACAGAATAAGGTGTACTTGAACAGAGAAATGTGTATTTGAACAGAGAAAAAGGGAACTTGACTGGAGACAGATGTACCTGAACAGACTTGGATCGAATATTTTCCGAATGATTCTGATACAGCAGCATGATCTCCAGTCATGATTGTTCCGACTGTCATCCTCGGCAGGAGCTCCATGAAGTGCTACACCCGTGACACCAGGTTCCAGACCACTGGTGACACTCATGATGCTATCACGGTGGACGAAGGGGCCTGACAGTTTCTGGTCGATGCTCCAGTTGCTTCCATGGATGCTCATCTGATCAGCTGAATCCTTTCTGGAACTCTGCTTCGGCAACAAATCTTTATTTGAAGCCTTCCTTGCCTCGTGAGGATGTTTTGATTTAGTATTTTTCGGGTAGCCGGTCTGTGTTAAGAGTTCACCATTTGCTAATTCTTTACCCACTTCATAAAATCTTGCATTCTTGGTATCGTCTGAAGGGACATCACTGACATGGCTATCGACCATGTCATACAAACGTCCGTTACTGTACTTGGTGATTATGTCTCCTTGGAGTGGTGGCAGCTCGTTCTCCGTGTCCTGTGTTGAGGTTGGTGACAGCAAACTCTGACCTGCGTGTTGCTCTTTCACTGGTTCATCTTTCAGCGGTGTTGTGGCATCGATGTTTGTAAGACCTGTGATGTCTCGAGAGACGGCTCTGGAACAGAGGGACAAATGAAAAACACTAAATGTCGTATTTATATGACAAAATTATATAGCAAACAGGTCACTCAGTTATCTTCGAGCTACTATTAAGTCAGGATGAATGTGAATCTTACTTACATTAGACTGATCTAGCATTTTATGGAGATTGAACTGGATATGTGAGATCTACCCTGTTGGTCTGCCGTCCAAACTGAGATTTTGTATTTGAATTGCGGGGTAGTAAACCTTCATGTAACAGTCATGAGGCGACAAACCTATCAGTTGATGGATAGAAAGTATAAGGATCCACAATCTCACATTGGGATATAGGATACTTGGTAACCATAGAGGTGTCCCCGCATAACCGTGTTATATGCCTGAATAGATGTTCTGTGAGTTTCACCGGTATGATTCTCACCAACTCAAGCCACCCGAGAAGCGCAAGACAAATACAGAAAATCATGACACTGGGCTACAACCTGGTATCGGTGAGACGGCAAACCGCGACACTGGGGTACAACCTGGTATCAGTGAGACGGCAAACCACGACAGTGTAATTCAAGCTGGTATCGGTAAGACGACAAAATTATGACACTGGACTACAACCGGGTATCAGTGAGACTACAAAACCACGACACTGAGCTACAACCTGCTATCAGTGAGACTACAAAACCACGACACTGGGCTAGAACCGGGTATCAGTGAGACGACAAAACCACGACACTGGGCTAGAACCCGGTATCAGTGAGACTACAAAACCACGACACTGAGCTACAACCTGCTATCAATGAGACAACAAAAGAAAAAGATGATTCTTATCCTTGAGGTGGTAATCCAGCAAACAGCAACCCTGAAGAGAAACATTGGTCTGAACTGACCTGGCATGACCCGACGCATGTAGAGTTCACCATGTGGAAGTAACTGTGTGGAAGTAAGTGTGTGCAGGTAGTTATATGTAACCGTGTGTGGAAGTACGTTTGTGTGGGGGTAGTTATATATAGATGTAACTCTATGCAGATAACCGTGTGTGGAAGGGTAGTTAAAAGTAAGCTAAGGTAAGGTAATCGCTGCTCCAGCATTATAGCAAGCAGGTCACCCCAGATTTGCTCCGTTCTTGGGCCAGAGAAAACCACACAGAATGTCCATCACTGTCCCTTGTCTCGCACAGCCAATAGAATACACACGCATTAAATGCATTAGCTAACGGTCATACGTGCCAGCACAGACAGTCCGCCACTTGAAATGCAATTCACCGTTGATATAAGCAGCAGTTAGAACAGATAAGTAGCTGCACATGCAATTAATTGTATAGGGCACCACAAGTTCTCTGGCAACAGATCACTCGCCTTTTTCTGAATCTGCAGCTCACAGCATAACCTACGTTAAGCAGTCAAAGAACATTTCAACTAAACTTCGCAGCTCACAATGTTGCCCCATGCGTCCAACTCAGTAGCTGGGTGACATAACTGTATCCTCTAAGTCTACACATGAAAGAATATGCTATGACTTACTATTGTGAGCAAAAAACTGCTAAGACCAACAACAACAAAAAGTGAATCAGTCTATCCTCAGTATTGACCGGAAGCCACAAGGTAGAGTTACATGTAGGGTTGACAGTGTGTGGACGACTAGTTAACTACCGTACCTGTAGGAGGAGACAGGGCGCATGAGAAGACCAGCAGCAACCATGTGGAATTCTATGGCGGAGAGTATCAGAAATGTTCCCCTCATCCCAAACTCGGCAGTGATGGCGCGGATGACGGGCGGAGACACGATGCTGGCCACACAGATGCCACTGTTGCTGATGGTCGTTGCTAGAGATCGTCGCTTGTTGAAGTAGTAGCTTAGCAGGCTTACCGAGGGGACGAAGATCAAACCCACACAGGATCCTGCAAGTGTACAATGGATGTCGGCGTACATATGATGTGATATTATATCTGCGTACACATTCTTGGATCTGATGTCTGTGTACTCATTCAGATTATGTGATGTCTGTGTTCATATTATGTCTGCGTACACACTCTTGGATATGATGTCTGTATACATTTGAAGTGAACATGATGTCTGTGCTCAAATGGTGTGATGTCTGTGTTTATATTATGTGATGTAATACCTGTATAAACATGATGTTATGACCTAAAAATATGATGTTATACCTGGATACACCTGATGTTATATTTGTATAAACATGATGTGACGCCTGTATAAACATTATGTTATGACTGGATACGCCTGATGTTATATTTGTATAAACATGATGTTATGCCCGTATAAACATGATGTTATGCCTGCATAAACATGATGTTATACCTGAATAAACATGATGTTACGCCTAAAAAAACATGATGTTGGGCCTGTAAAAACATGATGTCATGCCTGGATACACCTGATGTTATATTTGTATAAACATGATTTGATGCCTGTATAAACATGAGATTATGCCTGGATACATCTGATCTTATATTTGTATAGACACGATGGTATACCTGTATAAACATGATGTTATGCCTGTATAAACATGATTTTAGGCCTGTATAAACATGATGTGGTGCCTAAATAAACATGATGGTATATTTGTATAAACATGATGTTACGCCTGTATAAACATGATGTTATGCCTGTATAAACATGATGTTATGTCTATATAAACATGATGTTACGTCTGGATACATCTGTTTTTATATTTGCATGAACATGATGTTATGCCTGTATAAAAATGATGTTATGCCTGTATAAAAATGATGTTATGCCTTTAAAAACGTAATGTCATGCCTGTATAAACATGATGTCATGCCTGTAAAAACATGATGTTATGCCTGAATTAACATGATGTTATGCCTGTATAAACATGATGTTGTACCTGGATACACCTGATATTATGCCTAAATACACATGATGTTATGACTGTAAAAACGTAATGTCATGCCTGTATAAACATGATGTCATGCCTGTATAAACATGTTGTCATGCCTGTATAAACATGATGTTATGCCTTTAAAAACGTAATGTCATGCCTGTATAAACATGATGTCATGCCTGTAAAAACATGATGTTATGCCTGAATTAACATGATGTTATGCCTGTATAAACATGATGTTGTACCTGGATACACCTGACATTATGCCTAAATAAACATGATGTTGTGCCTGAATAAACATGATGTTATGCCTGTATAAAACGACATATATTTATTGTCAAAGCGCCTTCCCAGCGAGAGAACTCTATAGTTCCACGGGACTGAAAATACTAACAACAACAACGACGACAACAACAACAAATACTATTACTTCTGTTACTACTACTGCAGGAACTACTACTACATAAATTGGTACTACTACTCCTGCTGTTGTTTATTCTACACCTGATGAATGTACACATAATGTAAAGATAATATTTAAATGACGTTAGTTCAGTTTGCAAATGATACCAAATATGTATACAATTATGGGGATCATCATCATTATAAACCATTTCTGCCGTTAAGCGTCGTGGGAGGGAATAATTTGCGATCCAGTGCATTTTGGCTGCCACTGGCTATTGTCATGCCGTGAAGGCGTAGAGTGTCTTTAATGTTGTCGATCCATGTTTTCAGCAGCCGTCCTCTTGCTCCTGTAGCTGATCTTCTGAGATGTAGTGCTTGTGATGGTATTTGATCTTGCTGCATTCTAACGAGATGGCCAAACCACTTAATCTGCTGTTTCTAGATGAATCTAGTACAAGGTGTCGTTCCCACAATTTGCATGATAGTTTTATTATTCACTGGATCTCAGATGGTTAGGTTGGCTGCTTTTCTCAGGTACCTCATCTCGCAGGTGGTGTTTTTTCGTATATAGGCTTTAGATAGTGTCCATGTTTGGCACTGGTAGCTTAATGTTGGAATGAATATGCTATTAATAATCTGTCTCTTTGCACTCACAGTTATGGAAATACAGTATAAAAAATATGTGAATTCTGTAGATAAATTGTGTGAATTCCATACACACATTATGTAAATTCAGTATATAAATTATGGGAACTCCGTATACAAAATACGTGAATTCAGTACATAAATTGTGTGAATTCTGTATACATATGCAAAAGCAACGAAAAGAGAAGATGGACAGTATAGTAAAAGATGTTGCGATTTGTGTATTTTAATGGAAAGGATTAATGTTTTGTGTTCATTACATGTTGATAAAACTCTGAATAATTGTATCCATAAATTTTGCAATGTATTGTTTGTGTCTTTGTTTAAACAAATATAGAAAGATATAAATATGAAAGCTTAGATTATAATCGGAGAAATAATCCACATTAACATAACGATAATAATTTAATTATAATAGAATCATACGAAACGGATGTGCATTCAACACTCAGGTTATGGAACAAAGTCGGTATGTGGACGGGCACCCAGCACTTTCCGCCGGAGTTTACATCAAGTGAACACGAAGAAGAACAAAAGAAGAGGAAGAAGAAGAAGAAGAAGAAATCACTTGATGATTGATCTTTGGATGATGAAATTCTGAATATGGCTAGCAGTGTAGGCGATTTGAAGGACAAACATAATTAAAAAGAAATCACTGTGCAATAAGCTAGGTTTTCATTATTATTTTTCTTTAATGACAATTCATTATTGTAGCTTTGTAATTGTAAATGTTACTGAGTTGCGTTGCCTGAACAACCGACATCACAGCACTCGGCGCATTTCAGTTACCGCCCTTTCCCCGTCTTCAGCAGAAATGTTATTGTAAAAGAAAATTGCTAACATTTTTAGGATGCAATTTTTCATTATTTGAAGCCCTACTCTGGCTCATGCCAGGGGCAGGAATAAAGCCCGGCCATAAATATTGCCTAATGGCTGAACGCGGTTTCTGGAACCTCTCCACGATGATCCTCATCCACATGACGGCACATTGTGTCATGGGGTGTTTATCGCTTGTGTCATGTCCTGGTGGGGTAGAAAGTCAGTCAGTCAGTCTGTAAAAGAAAGTGAACTAAAGCCTAGAATATGAGATAGAACAACCAAAGTACAGGTTAAAGTAATATCGATGGATATGACGATAATGACAATGATGTCTAAGAGACATAGTTTCTTGATCTGGACATACCTTTCCCACCTGCAAACACTATAAACACGATAATGTTCGGCGCCAGATAATAGCCAATAGAGCAGGCAGCGAATAGGGCGCCAGCCACAATGATGACTGGACGCTCTCCGAAGGCGGGAACTAGGACACTTGTTGACACCACAGCTGTAGACAAATAGGTCAATAGACACAGTCAATGCACACAGTCGTGATATCACACACAATCAACACACACACACACACACTCAATACACACATTCAGTACACACACTCAGTACACATACACACAAAAATTGCATACGCTGACAAGGAACACTGAGGGACATCACTCATCCAGACGCCGGCAAACACGTACTCCAGACCACTTTGAACTGATCAGACAGTCACTTTAGTTCATGACGACCTACAGAGGGTATCTGATCTAAGATCTCCTTTAAGGTGACAACCATTGGCGACACCGAACATATACATTGTCGAACACATGAAGTCTCTACTTTTACCCGTCGGACAAAGAGCTCGCTGAGAGCTAGGCTGGCAGATCTTTTAATTATGTTTACCTCCGGATGGGAAGAACGTGGATTCGGGTCCTGACGATACCGAACCTTTGTTCCCTAAAACTCCCAGGCTCCCAGGTAACCAAGTCTTCAGCAGCAGGTAGAGTCCTGAGAAGTAAAGACGACCGGCGTGACGTTAAACACATCACCTTAGGAGCGCCAGTTGGTCTACAAAATAGAGGTCTAGCCCTTTATGACCAGTGCGCATGAAGGCGTGAAAACGGGCCTTTACTTTATTTACTTTTTACTTTTTTCTTCATTGAAAAGTATAGTTGCCTTTTCATTATCAGTGCAGGCAAGTGAAATCTCTTGTTGATGCCCAGCCATGGCAACAGTCATAAGAGTCAGTCATCTTATACTGAATTTCTACTGTCGGCGTTGGGAGCTGCAGCAATGTAGTGGCTAGACGCTCCTATACCACTCCGAAGGGTTAGAGTTCAGATCCACCCAAAGACGGATTTTTGTTTCAGAAATGACCGTGGTTCCAGTGTCCACCCAATCTAAAACATGTGACCTGAAATAACCTAATGTTAACCGCATCACGCCTCGATTGTAGAAGATTATTGGTCTAGCACTACTCCCAGTAGGAGACGTCGTGTGTAGCGGCTACACGAAGGTCGTGCGTTCAAATCCTTAGCTCCCAGGTCAACCCAGTCCAAAATGGGAGTTCTTTTCTGTTTAGCAACCACATTATTCGAGATTTAGGTAAATCCCTTATTAAAGTGGGGTTAGGTTTAGTCGCCACTCATTTAACACTAACCTTAAACCCCCTATAATATAGGATGTCCCTAAATCTCGCGTGATGTGGTCGCTAAACAGTACCTAAACAGTAATGGGCACTAGGTAATGTCTTTGAAGGTAAAAGCGTCTGGCGCGATGTTAATACATCACTGAAAGGTCCGTAAAATAAAGATCTAACACTATATGCCCTGGACACTTAGAAAAAGTCCTTTAATTGCTTTAACTATGCACAATGCACCAAACGTCATTAAGAGGCTTTTCACTTGTTTCACTCCTTTCGAGAACAGAATACCACATTTGAAACAAACATGTACTTACATGAAACACTAAGGGACATCACGAAGCACATCACCGAGAGTGAGGTGATTGTAACCGAACTTTCAAACTCGTTGACGAGTTCCAAGAACAAGACAGACAAGGCTTGCATGGAGGTCCCCACCACGAACATACAGATAAAACTTGCTGAAAGAAGAAATAAAAACATCCAGTTGTAAGGTGTATCTCTGGTTTGAGTTCCTTCTCTCTCCTCTCTCTCTCTCTCTACCTCTCTCTCTCTGTCTCTGTCTCTACCTCTCTCTCTCTCTCTCTCTCTCTCTCTCTCTCTCTCTACCTCTGAACTGCTCACACTCTCTCTTAATTTCTTTTCTCTTCCCCCCCCCCTCTCTTTCTCTATCGCTCATATGCTGCTCGTCCATCACAAGTGGGTGATGAGGACCACTCTTTCTTTCATTCGTCATGAAACTAAAACTGAAGTTTAGTGAGTCCCGAGGTAAATGGCCTGCGCGATGAATTGATTAAAGTGGGGAAGAGTTGCGCAGTGTCGACGGCCTCACTCTCTCGCATGTGTCCATCTAGATTCAGTGGCAGGACAAGGTGAGATGATTGGAGATGAAGTCAAAAGCGATGGATGGCCAGGGTGTTTTACGTGCTTCACTGTGCTCTTACGCTCACCGCGCGTTGCTGGTACTCGCTATCAGGTCCTTTTAACCGAGCCTTTATTTTCTCTGCACATTCAGTTGGGTCCCGTTTCTGCATGCTTAGATAGACAAGCATATCCTGACTCACCGAAAGCTACTAACCATTCGGCTATCCTCACCTGGTTTCACCTGCCTATTGCTGGGTGGTGGTCGCTGCCGCATGCTGGCAGCTACTAGGAGCTACAGGTGAGAGCTGGCAGCTACTAGTAGCCACAGGTTAGAGCTGGCGGCAAGTAGGAGCCACAGGTGGGAGCTAGCGGCAAGTAGGATCCACAGGTGAGAGCTGGCAGCTACTAGGAGCTACAGGTGAAAGCTGGCAGCTACTAGGAGCGACAGGTGAGAGTTGGCAACTAATAGAAGCCACAGGTGAGAGCTGGCAGCTACTATGAGCCACAGTCGAGAGTTGGCAACCATTAGAAGCCACAGGTGAAAGTTGGCAGCTAATAGGAACTACAAGTGAAAGTTAGCAGTTACTAGGAGCGGCAGGGAAGAGCTAACAGCTACTAGGAGCCACAAGTGAAAGCTGGCAGCTACTAGGAGCCACAGGTGAGAGTTGGCAGCTACTAGGAGCGACAGATGAGAGCTGGCAGCTACTAGAAGCCACAGGTGAGAGGTGGCAGCTACAAGAAGCCACAGGTGAGAGTTAGCAGCTACTAGAAGCCACAGGTTAGAGCTGGCAGCTACTAGAAGCCACAGGTGAGTGTTAGCAGCTACTAGAAGCCACAGGTGAGAGTTGGCAGCTACTAGAAGCCACAGGTTAGAGCTGGCAGCTACTAGAAGCCACAGGTGAGAGTTAGCAGCTACTAGAAGCCACAGGTGAGAGTTGGCAGCTACTAGGAGCGACAGCTGAGAGTTGGCAGCTACTCGGAGCTTTAGGTGAAAGTTGGGAGCTACTAGGAGCGACAGGTGAGAGTTGGCAGCTACAAGAAGCAACAGGTGAGAGTTGGCAGCTACTAAGAGCGACAGGTGAGAGCTGGCAGCTACTAGAAGCCACAGGTGAGAGCTAGCAGCTACTAGAAGCCACAGGTGAGAGTTGGCAGCTACTAGGAGCCACAGGTGAGAGTTGGCAGCTACTAGGAGCCACAGGTGAGAGTTGGCAGCTACTAGGAGCCACAGGTGAGAGTTGGCAGCTACTAGGAGCCACAGGTGAGAGCTGGCAGCTACTAGAAGCCACAAGTGAGGGTTGGCAGCTGCTAGAAGCCACAGGTGAGAGTTGGCAGCTACTAGGAGCGACAGGTGAGAGATGACAGCTACTAGGAGCGACAGGTGAGAGCTAGCAGCTACTAGAAGCCACAGGTGAGAGCTGGCAGCTACTAGGAGCCACGGGTGAGAGCTTGCAACTACTAGAAGCCACAGGTGAGAGCTGGCAGCTACTAGAAGCCACGGGTGAGAGCTTGCAATTACTAGAAGCCACAGGTGAGAGCTGGCAGCTACTAGAAGCCACAGGTGAGAGCTGGCAGTTACTAGAAGCCACAGGTGAGAGCTGGCAGCTACTAGAAGCCACAGGTGAGAGTTTGCAGCTACTAGGAGCCACAGGTGAGAGCTGGCAGCTACTAGGAGCCACAGGTGAGAGCTGGCAGCTGTTAGAAGCCACAGGTGAGAGTTGGCAGCTACTAGAAGCCACAGGTGAGCGCTGGCTGCCAGGCTTGGACCAAAGGCAGGTGAGCTGACCAGAAAAAGACATGACAGGCCCCCGAGACCATAGATATACACACATAGAGACACACAAGCACACACACACACACACACACACATGCCGAATAAAATGGCTACCTGCAAGTGTGACGGAAAGTCAATGCGGTAGTAGCCCCGAAATGTTGAGTGGAATATAAGATTCGATTCGCTTCAAGAGGTTTAGTGACTCTCTGTTCTTTTCTTCTTAGAATGTGTCCAATATAGCGCCATCTTCTTTATCTTATAGCTGCGGATACCAGTGGCTTCCCAAACCTCTTGATTTCATCCCATTTTATGTTCAACATTGTAACGTAATCATCGTGATTTTTAGGAACACTTGGTATCATAACATTAAATGTCAGAGAAGAGTATGTGATTGCCAATGTCTGCTCTCTGATTGAGGTTGAATAAGATGCACCATTGACAGTACAATCATACAATCATATCCGTGTTTAATAACCTTCCGCAGCCTATCTCTTGGCATTGGAAGCCACAGGAGTATAGACATAAAGGCAGCCTCAAAAAACACGCAGAGAAGGTAGTTGGACTGTGAAGTTAAAAGGATGGGAAGGACACGGAGTGAACTGCATGCAACAGGGAAGGATAGAACAACTTAGCGTAAGTTGGTTGAGGGCCTATGCTCCACTGGGGGGGGGGGGGATATAAGGCTAAAGAAACATCTGACACTCACCAAAACAAATAACCCATGACCAGCCCTGATCAATAGGAAGCTCCCTAGTTCGATTCTTCTGCGCCATGCCTGGCTTGTCAGTTCGTCTTCTAAAAGATTCTGAATGGTCAAGATCGTATATCCAAGCAGCTAGTGAATTCACTAATCCTCCAGGCTGACAGTTTCACTCTTGTTCTATAAGTGGAGACACTGGAAGCGACTAGCGAAGTACTTGTAGGTTGGCATCCTGTGAAATTAGGTAACATAAGTTGTAGATGAAACACCCACATGTACATAAAGTGATTAAAGCTAGAACATCGGTAATACCAGAGTAACAAGATTAATTACAGTTTCAATAGAAATTAAAAATAATGAGTGGATTTAACAAAGGCACTAACCAATCCAAATAAGCTGGACTTTTCCAAAAAATGATTATGGCTGTCAGGTTGGCTCAGCCTTATATGGGTACAAGGTAAATTCCGGGATAGTAAAGGCAGCCAGTGTGATACTGACCATATCATCCTTGGAGTGCCCATTTGTCTATAAAATAAGATCTAGCCCTGAATGCACAGCGTGTCCACAGACGTGGAAAATTGTCTTTTACATTTTTACCTGCCTGTAAGTGTATAAATAATATAGTTTATGAATTAAACAAGTTAAGAAGAACAGAATGTTAAGCGGGTCTGCGTGCCTAATTCTTACACCTTTGAAAAAAAAACGTCGTTCGTTAGTCTCCGAAATGTGTAAAAGAGTGCAGCTCTATCTATCTATCTATCTATCTATCTATCTATCTATCTATCTATCTATCTATCTATCTATCTATCTATCTATCTATCTATCTATCTATCTATCTATCTATCTATCTATCTATCTATCTATCTATCTATCTATCTATCTATCTATCTATCTATCTATCTATCTATCTATCCATCCATCCATCCATCCATCCATCCATCCATCCATCCATCCATCCATCCATCCATCCATCCATCCATCCATCCATCCATCCATCCATCCATCCATCTATCCATCTATCTATCTATCTATCTATCTATCTATCTATCTATCTATCTATCTATCTATCTATCTATCTATCTATCTATCTATCTATCTATCTATCTATCTATCTGTCTGTCTGTCTGTCTGTCTGTCTGTCTGTCTGTCTGTCTGTCTGTCTGTCTGTCTGTCTGTCTGTCTGTCTGTCTGTCTGTCTGTCTGTCTGTCTGTCTGTCTGTCTGTCTGTCTGTCTGTCTGTCTATATGCACTGTCCTGTCTTCCTTTATATCTGTATCAATGCCTCTCTGTTCACCTGCCTGTCTACATGCAATGACTAGATCGCGAATCCTATTACAGAAAGAATATCACACGTTCGATGCTTTAATGGGCAGGTGATCTCCGCGGACAAACTGATCTGTGGCTTCCTGAGCCAGCCTGCTGTTGAGACTGGGTTTCCGGCTGTTCACAGGGACTATGTTTACAGGGAACTGCAGAACCTCCGGTCCCTACTTCAAGCTAAGAAAACAGAAGGTTGTGCACCACAACTGTACTGGACCGTTACATCTTCACATGGCACAATTAAGTGAAGGCCTTGGGACCTTTGTGTTTTCTGTGCTAGTTTGTGTTTGTATTGTTTTTGTAAACCAGCTGGCAGAACAGGATCGATAATCTCAGTATCAAACAGAAGACCTTTAATACCAAAACACTTGCTGTGTCTCTGTGTATCTGTGTGTGTTTGAGTGTGGTGTGTGTATCTGTGTGTGTGTCTGTGTTTATATGTGGGTGTTTGTGTGTCTGTGTGTATCTGTGTGTATCTGTGTGTATCTGTGTGTGTTTGAATGTGGTGTGTGTATCTGTGTGTGTTTGTGTGTCTATGTGTATCTGTGTGTGTTTGTGTGTCTCTGTGTATCTGTGTGTGTTTGTGTGTCTGAGTGTATCTGTGTGTGTTTGTGTGTCTCTGTGTATCTGTGTGTTTGAGTGTGGTGTGTGTATCTGTGTGTGTGTGTCTGTGTTTATATGTGGGTGTTTGTGTGTCTGTGTGTATCTGTGTGTGTTTGTGTGTATCTGTGTGTGTTTGTGTGTATCTGTATGTGTTTATATGTCTGTGTGTATCTGTGGGTGTTTGTGTGTCTGTGTGTATCTGTGTGTGTTTGTGTGTCTGTGTGTAGATGTGAGTGTTTGTGTGTCTGTGTGTATCTGTGTGTGTTTGTGTGTATATGTGTGTGTCTGTGTGTATCTGTGTGTATCTGTGTGTGTTTGTGTGTCTGTGTGTATCTGTGTATGTTTGTGTGTCTGTGTATATCTGTGTGTGTTTGTGTGTCTGTGTGTATCTGTGTGTGTTTGTGTGTCTGTGTGTATCAATGTGTGTTTGTGTATCTGTGTGTATCTATGTGTGCATGTGTGTCTGTATGTATATGTGTGTGTAGGTGTGTCAAGGCGTATGTGTGACAGTGTGCATGTACTTGTGTGCATGTCTGTCCATGTTTGCATCTGTGAATGTTTGTGTGTCTGTATGTATCTCTCTGTGTGTGTCTCTCGGCGTATGTATTTACTTTTGTGTATGTCTGTCCGTGTTTGTATGCCTGTGTATGCTTGTGTTTGTCTGTATGCATGAATGTCTGTATTTACATCGATGCATTTGTGTATGTGTGTCTGTGTGTGTATGTATATATGTATGTATGTACGCATGTATGTATGAATGTATGTATGTATGTTTGTATGTATGTATGTATGTATGTATGTATGTATGTATGTATGTATGTATGTATGTATGTATGTATGTATGTATGTATGTATGTATGTATGTATGTATGTATGTATG